TAATTTAAACAAAATAATTGAATATATAGGTAAGTGTACACGCACATTTATATAATGACATACCTATTAGGTATAAATCCTATACCATCCAACTCTCTTTTAAATTTTCAATTGTTTTATTTTTTTCTTCTAGTTCCATTTTCATAGTACGAAATAAAGCATTAATATATATAATGGAGTGTTTTTTCAATTACTATAATTAATTAAAATGCATATATACATACACATGTGTATATAATTAATATATGTTATTTAATAGGGTGAATTACACCTTATGAACCAGCCTACCAAGAAAATTTTTCTTTGATCCTGCTACAAATAGATTTTTGAACTTTTAAAAATGTAACACAAACTCTGCATATGTCGTCGATTAGATGAAAAATTTTTACTATAATTAATATATTTATATGTTATTTAATAGGGTGAATTACACCTTATGAACCAGCCTACCAAGAAAATTTTTCTTTGATCCTGCTACAAATAGATTTTTGAACTTTTAAAAATGTAACACAAACTCTGCATATGTCGTCGATTAGATGAAAAATTTTTACTATTACTATATTAATATCTAATTTGAAAGTATGGGAAAAGCCAAAAAAGAAAAAAATAGAATTGCAAGAGAACAAAGTAAGAAAGGAGGAAATGGACAAGTCAAGAGAGGAAGTGGTGGTACTAGTGGCGGTGCTGGCAACTTAAAGGTTAAAGGTGAAAATTTTTATCGGGATGCTAAAAAAGTAAAATTTATGAATATGATTAAATCGGGTAAGGCAATACGAAATGCAAAAGGGAAAATCGTAAAAGAAGCTCCATTTCAAAGTAAAAAGGCTGTAACCGGAAGAGTTCAACCAAATAGAAGATGGTTTGGTTAGTTTTAATTGAATTAATTGTTTTTATAATGCAACTATTTAATGATAAAGATTTTTTTAAAATGAAGGTAATACTAGAGTCATTGGACAAAAAGAATTGGAAGCTTTTCGTGAAAGTTTAGGATCAAAAGTTGATGACCCATATCAAATTCTTCTTCGACAAAATAAATTACCAATGAGTTTATTAACAGACCCAACAAAGGTATCAAGAATGCATATGTTGGAGACTGAAAAATTTTCAGATGCTTTTGGTCCAAAGGCACAACGAAAGCGTCCAAAAATAAATGTAAATTCTTTAAAAGATTTAGCATCAAACACAAATGGATCAATAGAACAATACACTGAAAAAAATGACTCATCACTTCTTTCTAATGTCATAACTGATTGGACAGAAGAAGCTCGTGACAGTGTATTCTCAAAAGGAAAATCAAAGCGTATATGGAATGAGTTGTATAAAGTATTTTAATCATTTATTATAATAATAATAATCTTATTTTAGTAGCAGTAGTTGTATAATAATTATTTTATTAATTAAAAAAAGATGATATCATTTTCTTATTTAGGTTATCGATTCTTCTGATGTTGTAATTCATGTATTGGATTCTCGTGATCCAATTGGAACCAGATGTAAAAACGTAGAACAATATTTGAAAAAAGAATCAAATCATAAACATTTGATATTTTTATTGAACAAATGTGACCTTGTTCCTACATGGGTTACGGTAATTATTATTATTATTGATTTTTATTTTTTATGATGCCATATTACAGTCAGGGTTACTTTTTTTATTGTCAATAATAAAATAAGAGTTTTCCCGTTACGTATATGGCAGATTCAAAT